TTTACAAAACAGAACAAAGCCTTGCCAAGAGTGAGCAGAGTAGGACGTCAGGAGGACAGAAATAAGTGGCTGCGTGGTCCTGACTTGTCTCTTTGGGGGATCTCACCGCTCGTTCTCATGCAACCATCTCAGCCAGGCTGCTTCAGACCACAGTTCCCATTTGAGACAAACCACAAACCATGTCCTGCCCTTCAAGAGGCAGCTCTAGAATTTCAGTTAAAAGTACGGCTAAAGCATAGCATATAAAGCCGAGGAGGGTACCGGCCCCAGCTGATCACACTAGCTGAGGACCCTGAGAAAGCTACCTCTCTGTTCCTCAGTTTCTGCATCCAAGAGGTAGGAAAAGTAATAGTGCTGACCTTCACGGGTTGTTGTAGAACGTTAGTTCACATCATTATTCACTGTTACTTTTATCAGTTCCCTCATCCCTTAACCCAACTCTCTTGGAAGAAATTTTATAAAGAACCACTGCTTTAATAAACAAAAATTTAGGAGAAAGGGGGTATGGTGGGCTTCTGCTTCTAGGTAGGATACAGTAGTTCATGTCAAGCTTATAGTTCCAGTGCAACAAGCATAAAATTGTATTTCTAAAGATATTAGAGTACTATGGAAGCAACAGGGAATAAATAGACAGATTACCGTTTCAGAAAAGGGAGAGCCTTCAGAATACAGAGGATCTGATTCCGTCCGCAGAGGCATGCTACCAGGGGACAGGAAAGGAGAAATGCTCTCAGTGGCCATGCAGGGCTGGACTGATGGGCTGAAACAAGAGGCATCTGGCCTGCCTGCTCACTTTCCCCAGTAAGACTGCCCTTGAGTCTGTGGGCATTAGGAGAGGTTAAAAGGCAGCATGAACTATCCCACAACCTGGTGGTACTCAGGAGACCAAGTCCTATGTTGGAGGGAGGAGAGAGGAGTGTCTTTAACACACAGGCCAATTTTGAAGATATAAGGGATAGGAAATGGAAACGCTAAATTCAAAATCCCTGGAGAGTAAAACTGAATCTCTAGACATCTTTCAAGACTGGGGGGAAAACCCCCCAGAAATCTAATATCTTCTCAATAAAAAGCTTGGGTGAGTCCCATTAAGAAATGAGGATATACTTGAGAACAAGGGAGTTGTACTAACCAGTATCTCTCCCTATGTGGTTAATAAATAGAAGGTGAGCACCCTATCTGGTGGAAGATATCATATGGAGCCTCTATGGTTCTTTTATACAAAAATATCTAGCATACCATAAGGAATCATGAGGCACAAAGACTGAAAATTTGGAAAAATGGCACATTATGAACACAATATCATTGAATTAATATCATTGGTTGTATAACATTATGAACACAATATCATTGAACTGTTGAACTGGAATGTTACCTATTTATTTTAAACCACAACAAAAACAAATTTAATTCCCATATGTTAGCAACCGTTTAGGAGCTCTGGTGGCTCTTAACAGTACTGAAGAGTAGTTAAGTACTTAAGTACTCAACTGTTAACCCAAGTGTTGGTGATTAGAACCCATCACTCACTCAATGGGAACAAGATGCGCCACATATATGGAAAAAGAACCTCAACTCCTACACAAATATTAATTTGACATGGATCCTGGATGTAAAGCAAAGCAATAGACATAGAGGCAAGATTGCTGACTGAACACACACACACACA